AGCAGGAACTTCTCTAGAACTTCACCTCTAACATCTCCCTTTGCAGCACCACACCCCCAGGAACAGGGGAAGTGTAGCTTGGAAACACTGCTTCTCTGGAACATACCAGAGTGGTTCCTAACTAGGGCTCCACCTCCTGAGGAACACCCCCCAGCCCTCAGTGCCTTTTCTTCAGAAAGATCAATCCAAAGGTTCAACCCAGCAAAACTCCCAAGCGTCTCTCTCACATCACACACACAGCAAACCAGCACTGCTGTCTTCTCACCTGCCCAGCTTCTGTCCTTCTCCAGTAAAAGCTTTGAAGACACTTTTAGGTTTCACATACTCCTCATCCCGGTGATCCTCCATATCCAGGTTCACCTGCCCGCCCCGCGCCAACCTGCGCAGCTCTGCTGGGACCTCTCTGCAAAGACAGGGTCCTAAGGCAGCTGAAGAAGCAAGTCAGGAAAAAGACACAGAAAAAGTGCCAGCCCCAAATCTCTGGAATGTCAGGAATCATAGTGAGCCTTTGCCTAATTAATAGGGCAGACACAGGCCTCCCTGCTGCCTGGCCCACATTAAAGGCTGCTTTTCCCTGCACTGACATGATGCATCTCAAATTCTTGGCCCAAATATAAACACGTTTGTTCACTTCAAACTCTCAAGGCCCCACACAAACCAAAGCCACTTCCCATGTATCTGAAGTAAATATTGGACTCTGCCCTCCCACAGTTTCCACACTAAGAATTTAGCTCAGAAGAAAGCTCAGGTGAAACATGTCATTGATTCAGCATCCTGGATTCCACACATGCTTGTGGTTCAGAAACAAGCTCTTCTTTTCTCCCCTCTTGCTACATACCCCCTGCGGATATCCTCAAGGAACTGGGCATTGGATGGGTCCTGGTAGCTCCTCAGTTCTCCACTGTCCAGACTGAATCCACTCTTCCAGAGCTTCAGCACAACATGGACCTGCAGCAGCCCCAGACAACAATCACTGAAGCACCTCAGTGAGAACAGTAACAGGACACACAGTGAGAAGTTCCTGGACCAGCAGAGGAGATTTCAAGGTGCAGGAAATATTCCAGCCAGGTTCCTCTGGGCTGAAGGAACCAAAGCACTGGCTTCCTAAAAGGTGGCATCACAGCCCCCTTTCTGATAAACAGAATTGAAGAACCAAGAATGTACCAGGCCAGGAGCCTAAACCCAGCTCCCCCCGCAGCCCCGATGTGAGTTTGCTCACAAACCAAACACAAGAGAATCTTAATTGATGCTGTGAGCTCCACATCTCCCCAGTGGGTACAGAAGAGTTCACCACCCAACGTTCTCTGCCCACTAGTTTTCACAATCTGCACTTCTAAGGTACACTCTGATTATTAATTAGAATTTCTGCTTAGCCAAGACCCAAATATTTACTATTTCCTGATCAGAAATCCCACGAGGAGCAGGACTGGCCATTCTTCTATCCTCCTGAATTCCTATCCAGCTTTACAAGTCTCTGGGCTCACCAGCTGTGTAGCTACAGCAGAGAAATCCCTGCGGGGCCACCGAGGGCACAGAACAGATACTCACATCCTGGGCTGAGTTCTGTCTCCTCTCTCCAGCCACATAAGCAGACTCCTCCTCCGGAGTAGCCCCGAGGCGATACCCTCCCCCTGCGAAGGGCTGCAAAAGAGGCCAAGAGCTTGGAGAGGGACACAAACCCAAGACAGTTTCTTCCCTCTCCCCAGCACCGTTATGGACAAACAAGGGGGGACTCTGTGGCAGCAGCAACACGACTGTCCTGCAGGACAGCGACCAGCTTGAACAAGTTAATAAAGAAAGCAGAAAAAAGCAGCTTTTCTTGCCACTGTGACACACGAACTGCAGCTGCACCAAGAGGTGAGTCCAGACTCAACTGGCCTGGTCATTCCAGGACTTCACAGCATCAAAGAGCTATCAGGGTGGGAGAACAGAAGAAGAATTCCTCACTCCTCACTTTAGGCTTGCTCGTCTCCCCTCCGCTCTTGGCCACCCGGTCCACGGCCACCGCGCCGTGCTCCTTGGCTCCTTTGAACAGATCCTCCACCAGCTCGTTGGGACTCTTCTTCCTTGGAGGACCCACGATCTGCTGCCCACTCCTCTCCGAGCCACCAGCATAGAACCTGGCAGAGAGCACAGGGCACCTGGGTCAGACTAGGGAGAGCACACGACAGGGCCTGGGTCAGACTGGGGAGGGCACATGGGACCCGGGTCAGACTGGGCTGCTGCCTCTCCAGGAGACGTGGGTGACAGGACCCAGTGGTTTCATCTCAGGATTCAGTTCATTTTTGTACAGCCTGGATCTACAGATATCAGCTACTACCAGTCAGTTTCCTACTGCAGCCACTTAGAAGCTCCTAAACTGCAGAGATTTTGGTTTTATGTCATTTACTGTAAAACTGCTCACTGATGACTAGCAATGGAGTGACTAAGAACTCTCTCAGAGCAGAGAGAAGCAGCCCAGCCTGACCAGGCTGTTTCAGATGGTCCTACCAGTTGTGTCACCAACCTCAACAAGACCAGCAAGTTCTCTGACCTGTCAGATGGAAGATGGGTCTAACTGGAGTTTTGAGGGGAGGCCACACATTCATGCCCCACCAAAGCTCACACACACGGGGCAGATCTGACCTGGGAGCAGTGGATGCAGGGACAGGGAAGTGCAATTAAGCACTTCTGGAAGATTGGGTTTATTGGCTTCCAGCTGGCTTGTGACACACACAGAGCAAGCCCACATCCACTTCAATCTGCTTTTTAAAATGCCCTGTGCCCATGTGGAAGCCACCCCAAAAGGGCAAGGACACACACACAGGTTGTAGGTCTGGAACTCACCGTTGTCCCTCCTCCTCTTCATCATCTTCCTCCTGTGCATGAACGAGGTCTCTGAAGGATGTTACTCTGTGGTCACTGCAGGAAGCAAGAGGGCAGCAGGTCACCCTCCTGACACCTCCCAGCCACGCCAGCAACAGCCCCTGAGCACAGCTGGGCTGGCCCTGTTGGGCTCCAAGGCCCTGACTCATTCCTCTCTGAGCTGAGAGGTCAGCAGCACCCACAGAACAGGGAACAGGAGCCCAGGAAGGGCTTGGGCAGCAGCTGCAGCCACTGCTGAGTCCTCCACCACCTCCCTGCTCCTGGGCTGGCTTTTGTTGCCTCTTTCAAAAAGCTGCCACTTCCCAACCTGCATAAGCCCAGGTTTATCCTCCAGGACAGTCCAGCTCCCATGTCCTCCCCCTCTGGTTTCTTGCCGAGCCTGCAGGTGTGACCCAAACCAAAACAGGGACCTTCTGCAACACGGACTTGATTCACCACAGCCTGGACTGGGAGCATTTTCCCTTCAAGACAGTCAGAAACTCCTTCTCTTTAAAAATGGACAGTATTTCCCTACTGCACAGGGACTGGGTAAGGTGGAATTAACTTATTTTTGTAAAATGCTCCAGTTGATCAGATCAGGTATCACACCAAGTTAGAAAATACTTTTTTCTAGTGGACAAACAACCCACTCAAAGAAACGTGTCACCAGCTGATGGTCCTTCCAACCTCAAGGGACAAATCGAGTTTCTCCTGAGCAATGAGGCAAGTTGTCCTAACTGATCTCTGGATTAGTTGGGCAACATCTGTGCTTGTGATGTGTAAACACTGAGGTTTTCACCATGTCTAGGGAGCCACACGAGGCGAGGCAGAGCTATCTCTCCTGAAAATTAACACACATCAGTGCTTCAGCTGGAGCTTGTGTTCCCACATCAACAGTTCTCACTGACAGGTCTACAAGCTGCTGGTGACCAGACAGGCCTGAGCTGCAGCTCCCTCCTCACCTGGCTGCAGTGCCTCTGGAGACAGAGCTGGGTGTTGGCTGGGGCAGAGTCAGGATGTCCTCATCACCCCCGTCCTCATAGAAGCTGGCAAGTGCAATCTGGAAAGGAAAGCCCATCAGGATGAGTGCAAACATTCCCAGACAGTGGAAAACCACACCCAAACAACACTGAAGCTTCTGTCACATTGGACTTTTAGAGCACATCAACGCTAAAAAAATTCCACAGAATTTCCCCCTTTGGAGGCCCTGGCAAAGGGGAGGCTTTGCCAGCTCCCAGGACACTG